CCCCCTTCCGTGTCCAGGTTGTGGCCCAACCGGTCCACGTTGTAGCAATCCGTTTGGATGGATTCGGTGTAGCTGGTGGTGGTGATGCGGCCTGGCGTCGTGCCGTCCTTAACCATGGCAATGCGGCGAGGTTTTCCATAAGGATGGCCCATGATATATGCCGTGTCGTTAACTTGCACGGGAGTTTGTGACGCTTGGAGGTAGCCAAACGGCTTCAAGTCGAACCCATTGACGAGGTTGAGCTTGACGAGGGCAAAGTCAAGCTTGACGTCGTTCAGAATCAACGTGACGCTGGTCGACGCAATCACGCCGGGGTGGCTACCCTGTGAGACAGAATCGGCGCAGCCGGGGGCAATTGCGGCAAGCTCGACTGTCGTGCGCGATGCCGCATCCTCGTTGTTAATGCAGTGGTTGTTGGTGATCAGGTGGCCTTCCGAACCGAAGAGCCACCCCGTGCACCAATTACTGCCAATGCGAAGGCGCGCCACGGCCGCCGACTTGGCGACCTTGGCCTTCTCCATGTCTTGGTAGCACACTAAGTTCTTGGACTCGTCCGTGTTGCAGGCGCTTTCGACCTGGGTTTCGTGTTCGAAGAAAGAAGGGATCTGGGCGTGAGCGACGGCAAACCCAAGGAGGGCCAGCGTTTGAGTTAGAGATACCATGCTCGATGAACGGCGATTATGGTGGAAAGAGGAATAATCTCAAGTGCCCCGCATCGCACCATGGCTCCGTCATGCCAACATAACGTGAACCGTATCTTCAGGAGACACGCACGCACAGTTTGCCCAAAATTGGGAAAAATGTCTGTTTTCACGATATTTTCTACTTTTTTGACGAATTGGCAGTGATTGTCCAATGGCGCTTCTGCCGCCCATCGGGTTTTCAATGTGGTAGGGACATGAGTGTGGAGTTAGTGAACCGATGGCTCGGCAGGCGACGACTTTGGTCGGTGGCGCATTCACCTTGCCACGAAAGACGCAGCTACCCTCGCAACGTCAAAAGCTCTACGTGACAACAGCAGGAGAAATCCAGAATGCACCTCTGCCGAACAGGCACCTTGCTACATCTTCCCAACGGAATCGTTCGCTTGGCGATCTTCTGTTGGAACTACACATACGTTGCTTGCTTGGACGTGTTCACGGGGCACGTGGGGAGGGGAGACTCGTTGTTGTATTGTACGAAGCACGTCGTCATACACACCCATGATTCCGAAGCGACAAATCTGGCAAGAACCGTCGTTGCGACACATATGCGACGCGAAATGTGCTACCCTTGCACCCTCTCCCCTACGTTGTTTCCCCAAAAGGGGAGCGATCGTTCTCTACAGTGGTAACGCATGCGTTGGCCGCCACAACGAGGAGAAATCGGAGTTGATGATCGTCCCTCATCGAATTCGCTAAAGCTTCAACACACGACCCGTTTTGTGGACTTTGGCGGTGGGCAGGCTTTTGACGGCACATGGCCAGAGACTGAACATCGCAGCGATCCGTGGAAGCATGCACGTGCCGCGCGACAACAGTGCCCGCCCTCCTTGGTCTTTTTGCACACCCTGGCTTCCTTGATCACACCACGTCATGGAATAAGAAGCTATGGCTGAGTTTGAGGATGCATGCCCAGCGCATGCGTATGTTTGGGGGTTTGCATATCTCCGGGGAAAATCCTTTCGTTGGTGGCTACAACATCCTTGGATTCACGGACAGGTCTCGATCACCTGGTGATGTTGTGCAATTCAAGCTACGTCCACGTCATGTCTCTGGTCTATGGGGGCGTGGATCTCCTCCACGGCCGACTCCTTTGATGCCACCCCACATCCGCTGGAACGACCACCAACGACGAATGGTCTTGCCGTTTACATGAGCCCAACGCGGCTCACGACCAGCTTTCGCTCCCAATCCCAAACATATTTGGACGCTGGGGTGGAGTACTCGCCGTCAACTAAATGCGCTGGGGCGTCTTCGCCGAACATGGTCACGCCAATGTACGGGCAGTCGTCGAAGTCATACGTGGCGTCCGCTTCGAGTCGTGCCAGAAGGTTCGGGGCGAAGTCGACCGGGATGAGAGCTTCTTCAAGGACACATGGCTTGGCTTTGACCATTTCCTTTAGCACCTGCATCGGTTCGTACGTCGACGGTGTTGGGGATCGCGGGAAGCGGGAATTCGCCTGTGCCTTTATGTACGCGATCGCGTCAGCAGGAGGCATTGCCGCCAACGAGATTGGCGTCGCCAGGAAAGTTGGCCATGCCGGGTGCGGCGTCCGCAGTAGAAACTTAAACACGTCGTCGCCTTCTAGAGTGTGCAGCCGATGGACGAGCCTGAAGCACGCGTGGAGGGCTCGGTCGTATTGATCTTGCATGTCTTTGGACCGGACGTGATCCATCAGAAAGAACTGGCTCCACATCGCGAACGCGTGTTGCTCAAAGAAGCTCGACAACGAAGCGCTCCACGCCATGCGACCACGTTGCCCCGTGGGAAGGAATGTGTGGAAGTGTTGGCTCCATTTAAGCCAAGGCTTCGTCTTTAAAACCGCATCGTACGTAGCTTTCACGCCTCCCGATCCTGGGGCAGGCATGATCGCGGCACCAACGTGGATCACATGCTTGTTGGGTTGTCCTTTGGGAGCGCCAACGTAGTTGGTGATGGTGTCGTTGGCTGTCTGTTTTGGCTTCGTAGGTTTGGGCTTGGTCGTGTCAGGTTCATCGTTGAGAACACGCAATTTTTTGTCTCGCTCCCGCCGCAAGAAATTGCTCACTGCAGCCGCCCCGCGCTCGCTAGGCCGCCGCCTACCATCTGGAACCGGTGCAGGTGTTTCGGCTGCCGGTGTGCCACTGTTCTTGTCCGTGGGACCATCCTCGTCGAGTGTGGGGACATCGACAGGAGCGCTAGGGGCAGCACTGCGGTCTCGTTCGTCATTTAGACCCCGTAGCTTTGCATCTTGTTCGCGTCGCACGATGTTGCTCAGAGCCGCCGCACCGCGCTCGCTTGGTCGCCGCCGTACTTCAAAGGTGGGTGGTTGCGCAGCGGGGTTAATCCTCTCATGCTTGGTGTCTTCATCAAATGAAGTCAAAGAGCCAGGTGCAACCGTGCGGGCTCTTCGCTTGCGGAGAAGGGCAACCTGTTGCGGAGACTTTGTCCGAGTTGTTCTGTTCAGTGTACTTGTGGCTCCTGGCACCGGGACATCGACGATTAACTTCGGCTTTTTTGCGGATGGGGTCGGGGTAGCTTGCGCAATCCGATCATCGGACTTGGACGTTCGTCGCTTGGTCGGCTTGGTGGAGGCAGTAGGACTTGCTGGTTGTGAATGCCTCGTCAGCGCCATTCCATGCACGACGGTCACGTTTGAAGAAGCTTCTGGGGAAGTCGCAGGAGCACCCATGTCGGCAAACGCCGACTCCACCAACTTTGAATCCAACGGAACAGAAAATATCGTCACGTTTTCGTCGCCACCCACAAACCTGTTGACCTTGTCTTGGTCCTTGTCGGCAAATGCAGCAGCCAATTCACGCAGACCTCTGGCGTTTCTTGTCTGGAACGTTGCTTCAATCCACGTCACGAATCTCTCAATGTCTCGAGATGTGGAGTCTGTTCCACTGCTCGACTTTGTTGTGGCGACACCGTCCGAGTTGGCCTTAGCAAACCCAAGTGCTAGGGCCTTCGTGCGACTCGATTGATCCTGCAATTCGTCAACCAACTTACTGGCGGCAGCAAACGACGCCATAACCTGGCGCCCCAATGCCTCCACTTTCTCGACCTCATCCACCACAGCTCGAGTCTTCTTGGTGCTCATGTTGGTCCAACCGTTCATTGCGCCGCCGTGTCTGGATACCGACGGTGGACGAGATTTCACTGTATCCGGAACAAGTACGGATAATGGATTCAAATATCTAAGTCTCATCGCCGAAACACAGCGCGGTGTGGTAGCATGCGTACGGCATGCACGAGATGCAAAGGCAATAGCAGAAGGACTCGCGAAAGGTGAATGGGGTGCGAATGTATTATGCGTAAGTAAATGTCCGTGCCATCACTTGCATCTCACTGCTCAGGGATAAAGTCTGAGGGTGGCACATGAATGACACGGTCAGGGCCAGATTTCCCGTGTATGGACACACCTAGACTCGCCAGAAGATAGAGATCTTTGTCTAGGCACTCGTTCTAGCCATTGTAGTTCGCTTTCAGCGCAGCCCTGACGTCGAACTTGTCTTGTGCGTGCGACGTACCGTCAATCCATGGCTGTCCATGATTTCACGCATGTAGCGCCGAGCGCTCGTGGAGGGTTATGGTGACAGAGATTACGTGAAGGAATGAATGGATGGAGAAGCTTAAAATAAGGAGATAGTTGTGGTGGCGTCGTACGTTAGACGTGGCACCCTTTGCCTCCTGCAACGACGAGGCACTGTGTCGACGGAAACATGGACAGCAAGCTGACCACGATCGAAAACATCAAGCAGATGAAGCTCAGCACAAGCACGACTGCGGCAACGACAGGTTGGTTGCCACCTTGTACTTTAAGTTGGTACACTTGTGGTTTCTGGCTCGGACACAGCACGACGACGCCGCACGCGAGGATGGCCGCCATGTAGTAGATCAAATACGTGTACGCGACGTTGTGGCGGTCGCGACGTGTGTCGGCCACAACGTCAGCTTCGGTCACGTTGAATTGGCCGCTCACGATGTTTCCGACGAGTGGACCGAACGCAATCGGTAAGTTGTTCATGGTGGACAGCAGCGCGTACGTGATGCCTTCGTTGCCCATTTCGGCAAGCTCGACAATGATGAATCCTGTCACAAGGAACTGGACGGCGCTCGGGATGTTCTCGATCACTTGAGTCACGACCAAGTAAACGTACTCGTTGCGGACAACGTCGTAGATTGTGCAAAACGTGACCGCCGCGTCGACGGCAACGATCGACAGATTCGTGGCGACGATGACTGTGCGCCAGTTCCAAGCGGTCCCGCACGAGCCAGTGTAGGCCAGTCCCCCCGCGAACACAAGGTTCCCTGCGATCGAAAAGAGCTGGCTATTCATCGTTGTGACGTGCGCCCAGTGATACTGCACGTACGGCGCCGCCGTCGTGACCAACCCGGACGACAAAAAGTTGAACGAGAAGCGAAACACCATGAACTGCCACATGGCGCGGTTTTGAACGAGTTGCCAAAACTCGCGCATGTACTGACCGAAGTGGACACCGCGGTGGGGGGCATCGTCAACGCACGTGACGGAGATCGGGACCATGATCGCACAGGGCACTGCGAGAAAGACGAAGAACCATTGCTGCCCCATGCTCCACGAAAACGTCCCGCCGTACTCTTCCGAATTGAGGCAGAGCCCAATGACGGCTTGGGCAATGACCGTCGCGACATACCGGGCTACGTAAATCATCGACTGGAGGCGGCCACGGATGCGTTCCGGTTCTCGCTGGGCCATTTCGACAAAGAGCGCGTCGGCAGCGACGTCTGCGACAACGTACGATATCACAGCGACACCGCACAGCATGCCAACGATCGAGCCACGGGTCTTGGCGTTTTCGTTCACGAGGCTTGCACGAAGTGTGGGGTCGGTCGGCAGCGCTTTGCGAAAGTAGGCGGTGTCCGCAATGTACGGGCCACCGGCGTCGTATGTAGCCAAGCACACCAACACGGCACAGCACGCGAGCCACCCAATGACCATCCACGACTTTCGACGGTAGCCAAAGATGGGAAAACAGTCTGACAGGATGCCAAAGAGAACTTTCAAGTTCCACCCGATCACGGTCAGCGCAGTGATGCCATGTATCTGCGCCCCGGACATGCGAAAGTACACAGTGAACACAGGGTACACCAGGTTCGAGAACGCGCCTAACATGAGCCCAATCGCGACGTACTGGCTCAGCAGACCGAGAACTTCTGGGCTCGTGTAGTTGAGCGCCCCCCCCGGCCGCAGTGCGCCGGCATACACCATGGCCGCTTCAATGTCCGCTATCGCGGGGGTATCGACTTGAATGTGGTGGATGCCATACTCATCCGACTGGATCGTGTCGTCGCGCCGCATGGAGGTGAAGGCGGTGTCGTCCTTCATAGCGCGGCGTGTGACGTTTGAGAAAGAACGAGTTGTGGGTGACCGTCTAGCCATGATTGAAGGAGCAACTTTTGGGTCAAGTGTGTTGGGTTGGTTTGTTCTGGTTGTGTCAATTGACAAAACAAGATCTTGCACGAGCTCAAGTTGACCACCCCCCAGACAGCACATCGACACACTTCTGCATGCTATCCAACGCCCCCCGTCCAAGTGTCAGTGGAACGACATCGCGAAACACGAGCTGAGCGCATGGGGCAGCGCACAGCACAAATCTAGCAGCAAACTGTCGTGACGATTGACTTCAGGTTTTGGCAAATCTGGCAACCAACGACATATGGCCATGACGTGGGCAGACCAGCTTCTTGTAGCGTTCGTTTCACTGGCGAGTTTCACAACGTGATCGGGTCCAAGTATCGTACAGACGAGAAAGAATTGCAGCCAAAGGACGGACCTCCCTTTCGTCGCAAGCGCCATCGTCATGTGCAAGGGCAAGCTGCCGTTCGGCCGCTCCGTCGTCGTTTGGTACGGCAGCCCCTCCGAAAGGTCCGACAACTTTATTGGGTGTTCCCATGATCGTCCCAATGCAGCGTACAATATCGACCCCAATCACGAAAATTACAATAAATTTTGAATTCATTGGCTATAATTCGAATCCTTTCGCTTGAATCAGGCTATTGGATCGAAATATTCCAACCAGTTAGCCAATCAAAGCGTGCCATCGATTTTTTAAGGATATTCGTGTGGGTTGGACGATCCAGGGAAAAGTCCCATCGTTGACGGATCGAGTTGGAATCGAGAGCGACATTGCACCAGTGCACGGGAAATCGCTGCGACCTGTTCCCTCATGGCCCACATAGAAGTGATCACCATGGACGGTCTCTTGGAGGGGGATGCCTGAATTGGTCTCAACAACTTGTCAGGAGGACGAAGGGCATGTAGTCGTGGAAAGCGTTCAAAAATGGGACCAACGGGCGTGGCAAGTGGTGATTCGTCTCGCGCATCTCTTCGTCCGCGATTGACGTTCCGGTGAAATCAACGTCACAACCACTCGTCCCTGTCCAAACTCCGTTTCTTCAACTTGAAAGATGCCACCTGCACGTAACGTGCGAGATTGGCCAAGATGCAATGGGATGCAGTCGACCCATTGCCATAGAGACAAACTAATCGAGACTGTACCTTGGCAGTACGCACGCATGGGGCATCCACACGCCCACCTACACATATTCGTTCGCATGTGTTGTCGTGCGGCGTCTGCAGCTCGTGTAGGGTTTTTGTTGTTCAGTTGAGATAGCTCTGGTTTGTTCGATTCAGTCACCAAGCATCGTTGCGTTCGATTGCTGTACCAAGGAATGCATGGAGCTTGATCGTCCTCCGGGTATTGAAACCAGGGCGCTGGTGGCGTGCATGAAACGATGCTGTCCTTGCAAGTTTGCTCAATAGGGATGACCTATGGTTGCTGCTGCGCGAGCGATGCGTGCGTCAACCTTTCCAGCGTCCGTGTTCACCACGGCGCCCGCCAAGTGGTCTTGGAGAGATCTGTGCGCGAGGAGTACAAAATAGTCAGTAAAAATTGAATAAAATTTTCATTTGTTTTGGACAAATGTTGCTCGTGTTTGTGGTGGCCTTAAGTAATTGAAAAACGCGGCAACTTTGACATGTCTTCGACGCTTGATCGCATTCGAGCCCACTTTGGCCACACGGATCTGTACAGGATCCTCCATGTGAAGAAGACTGCCACGGAAAGCGAGCTCAAGACAGCGTACCGAAAGCAGGCCCTCAAGCATGTAAACTCCTTTTTAGGATAACAGAACTCCAGTTGCTGAGCTCCTCTTCTCAGCACCCGGACAAGAATCTCGACAACGACGACGCGACAGAGAAGTTCCAGCTGCTTTGCACGATCCATGCCGTGTTGAGCAACGCCGACTCCCGCGCTGTGTACGACGAAACGGGAGAAATCGAAGCCGACTCGTCCACTGACACCAAGTCGTTCAACGACTGGTACGAGAACCATCGCATTGACGGTACATGCAGCTTACCACGACGACAGGGTAGCGTACTGGCGAGCTCTTTTCCCTCCTTTGACGGAGAATGACATCACGAGCTTCGAAGCCACATATCGCGGATCGGCAGAAGAATCCAAGGACCTGTTGGAAGGTATTGTGCATCACCGTTGTTCATGGTGTTGAACGCTCGTTTAGCGTATAAAAAACACAAGGGCAAGTGGCAAAACATCCTGGACGTGGTCATCCTGGCGCGCGACGAGGACATCGACCGCTTCGAAGACATCATCCAAGCGGCCATCGACGACGGCTCGGTACCACCTTTTCATTGATTCGAGCCCATGGCATTGTGGCCACAGGTACCTCTTTTTCCTGCATTCAAGAAGAAACCTGTTGTGGCAAAGAAGAGTGCGAGCGCTCGGAAGAAGCAGGACGCAGAGGCCAAGGCCGCCGAGGACTTGATTGCTCAAATTCGGGGGCGCAACGGCCGTTCGGCCATGGCAAAGCGGCATGTATCCATCCATGCATGTACGACATCACGGAGAAATGACGTGGTATGAACTATAGAAGTGCCCAGTTTGACTCGCTCCTTTCCAAACTCGAAGACAAGTACGCCCCAGACGACGACGATGGGGAGTCGAAACCTTCCAAGAAGCGGCACACCTCCAAATCCGAGGAACCGTCGGAGGAGGAATTCCTCGCGGCTCAGCGAAGACTCGAAAAGAACAAGCGCAAGGAGTGAGGAAGCTGGTAAATGTCCTGAACATGCTTTGAATTGGATAGTATACATGGAAGTCGACGATTATGGCGTTCATCTGATGGACGCCAATCGAGCTTGTGCATAGAGATACAGATAGATCTGGTTGCATGTGAATCGTGGTGTATTCAATCGCGCCATGGGGTTAAATTAAAGCAATTCGAAAGTATGGTTCGAGGGAAACCATGATCCCCAACAGACCATGTCCATCCATTGGAAGCATCGCGGCCTCAGCCGGCGAGATCGTGCCGAGGGGATCGTCGAATGATCTCGAGCGATTTCTTGGGTATGTCTACCGGGCGCCTTTCCAACCCATCAACGGGTGCTGATGGTGATTTGACGTCGGCAAGGGGGGAGGCTGGGCAAACTCGCGGCCGACAGGAGCACTCTTCGTTAAGGGTGGTTGGTCCGAGGTAGTCACGATGTTGTTATTGTTGTTGACGATGGCCAAGCCCATGGCAGTGGAGATAAGGACGGGCGGTACGACCTTAAGCACGAGAGGTTCGAGAGCCATCGCTTCCGTCATCGAGCGAGATTTTCGCAGTGATTCATGTTGAAGAGTTGGCACTAGACATGTGGAACTTCCTCCAAAATCGCAAATGATTGGCTGCTTGACAGGAAGTTTGTCTGATTGGCTAAAAAGAAACCACTTCCACCACTAGAATGTGCTCAACTGAACAGATCGATATTGTGGTAGCCAATCACACATCCGGTCAGTCGCGTGACTTGGTCGTTTGAAGGATCGACACGTCATGCCGAAATCGAGCCAATGAGATCGGGGGATTCAAACAACCCAAGGTCACGCGACCACGAATTTGATTCGATCTTGTGTATTTTTCAGCCTGCGCAACGGTGCGGTGGGCCTGCATTCCACGTTTCAACAGAATGACGGGGGCGGCTGGGAGCAATCACCGCCGCCATTCCGACATCTCGCGCTTGGACGCTTCGGAAGGGCCCACGTGCTCGTGGTAATAGCCGTGGCGAAGGCGACACTTGTCGCGGCCACAGTCATAGCCTTTCTCGACAGCGGGTTCGCTGTCGTCTTCATCTAGCACACACACTTAGCCAGCATGGAGGATGAGTAACTTACCAGCGACGGCAGCGACAGCTTCACGAGTTGTCGGCTCGAACTTCTCTCGGAGGACGTTGCAATTTGTTAACCACGGCACGAAGTCGAATTCCCTACACGATAGATCCTCTTGTGAAGTTGTTGCACATGTTGTATCGTTACCAAGTGGCGTCATCCAAAGCTGCGATCGTCTTGTGCGCAATGTACTGGCCATGGTTATTCAGAGCCACCACTGCGACTGCATCGCTGCTCTTCTGTATGGTGTGGCGCCCGCATAGAGCCTGAACGTGTGTTGAACATGCATTCGACACTGCATACACGCATGTGCCAAGGAACCGCTCGGCGCAGGCAATGAGTGCAGCATTCAACACTGCTGTTGCGTCGTGGTCCGTGGAGCGCCATGCCACGATCGTCGGGCGATTCTGTTTGTGTTTAGCCAAATCGTCGGAAAGATAACCTTTCAGGCGAGTGTAAAATTCAGCGAATTCCTTGTCCCCCCAAACAATTCCAAGGCCTTGAGCTTGCAGTTTCGACTTCGCCTCCACTTCCCGACGTCGATTGGTGACCGCGTCTTCGTCGTCGAGCAAGTAGTCAAACTCATCCAGGTCGCTGTCATCACTTCGGTTTGCTTCGATCGATGTTGAAGTCATGGCAATGGAAGGATGTGGTGGTGGTGCATACGTTGAAGTAGTAGTCGGAATGCCTTGTTGCCGGTGGGCCAAGCGATGTTGGGCCACATCATGTGCCTGGAGGATCGTGTGCACTCGGACGTATTCGGCCTGCTCCTTCATGTCCTTCATGCAGCATGCCGACAGCGTTGGGTCGTCGCCGTGGATGTCGTAGTCGTCCAGGCCATGGTGTTCGGCGCAGCACCCGTCGTTGACGTGGTGGGTCGCCATCGTTCGCTCGTCTTCCAGAAATCCGGATGATTGGGCATCATCACAGTAAAAAAATGCCTAGTTTAATGTAAAACATACTAAAATAGATACTTGAATGGGGTATAATACCCATACTAGTAATATGTGCCTAAATTAGGGTGATACATAAATGGGGTAAATTCGGCTTTTCGAAATGGAACACATGCGTATCCGGATATCATCTCCAACTTACGAAACGGCAGGTTCTATTTTGACCTGCCTCCTCCAACTTGATCTGCACCGACCGAGTTTGGCTGAGCCTCCATTGACACGACGGACTTGACGGACTTTCGTGCATCCACATCGCCGCCCAGGAACGCCAACAGAGATGGAACTAAACATGCGCATCTCGGCGTACCTCCCGGCGATCGTTCGCCGGCGCCTGGAAACCAGTGACAGCGTAGAAGTTCCTGACATGCATTGTGCCGAGGTCGTGAGTATGTTCGCTGACGTGTCGGGGTTCACAGCGCTGACAGAGTCTCTTGCTGCTCGGGGACCGTCGGGCGCAGAAGGACTTGGCAAATACCTCAACTCGTACTTTGAGCAGCTGCTCAAGCTCATCTCAAGCGAAGGTACAGCAGATCCACAATGCACCCCTTCCAAATTTGTATCGTGATCGAGCACGTTGTACAGGCGGCGATGTCTTTAAGTTTGCTGGCGACGCCATCATCGTGTTCTGGCTCATCAACCCGAAAGAAGACACTCCCGAAACTGTCGTCCGACGGTGCATGCAGTGCGCACTGCGCATCCAACAGCATCTTCACCAAGCTAGATTTGCGCACGATGTCGTGCTCAGTATCAAAATGGGCATTGGAGTTGGACGTGCGACGATCGCGCATCTTGGTGGGGTGTCCGACGGAGCAACATCCCGCATGGAGTACGTTGGCATGGGGCCGGCGCTCATTCAGGCGTTCGGTGCCGAGCACCACGCGTCTCCAGGGGACGTAATCTGTTCTGCCGAGTGCTGGGCGCTCGCGTCGTCATCCTTTGCAGGAGTTTCCGTCGCTGGACATCACAATGACGGGTGCGTCCGCGTCACGGACGTGCTGCATCCCATTCGGTGTCAGTCCCGCCGGGCATCGTTCACGCGCGACGACATGACCCTCCAGCAGCGCATGCAGCAGTACGTGTCTCGCGCCGTGTGGCCGTACTTGGACGACGCAGAAGAGTTCTGGGGCTCCGAGCTGAGAGAAGTGACCGTTTTGTTCATCAACTTGGGCTTTGCCGATGCCGACCTGTCCAAGATGCTCGACGTCGCGAGTGTTCACAAGCTTCACGCCGCATTTGTGGCCGTCCAAAAGTGCATTTTCAACTACGAAGGCACAATCAACAAGTTTCTAGTTGACGACAAGGGCAGGTAGGCCAGAATTTTCCTGCTGCTGCTGCTGCTGCTGGAGATCTTGATATGCTTCACCGCCTTGTCATTCGTAGCACGGCGATCGCTGTGTTTGGCATGCCCCCCGTGACCCACGAAAACGACCCCATTCGTGGGATTCTCGCGTCTCTGGCCATTTGCGCCGCGTTGACGCCGTTGGGTTTGAAAGGTTCGGAGCGTTTCGCGCTGCTCGTGGGTTCTCTCATGACTGGAGTAGCGTCAGTCGGGATTACGTCCGGCACAGCATTCTGCGGCGTCGTTGGGCACCAAGGGAACCGCCGCGAATACACGGTGCTGGGAGACATTGTGAACTTGGCCGCCAGGCTCATGCAGCGCGCCAAGTCGGAACACGGAGGTGTGATCACGGACGAAGCAACCAAGTTGAGCACCGAAGTACGATCGAACGTGTAGCGATGCGACCACAATGTGGTTTTTGACCCTTGGAATCGTTTGTTTAGGACGTTTTGCACTTTGAAGAGCGACCGCAGATCATGGTGAAGGGCAAGCACGACAGCATTAAGATCCACCGCCCGTATCCGCGCATGTCTACAGTCATCAAGCACCACTTTGAAAACGTTCCGGCCAACAGCCACCGCACGATCAACGTGATGGAAAACATGCACAGCATGCAAGTCAATGCGGCGAAGCGCCGCCTCAGTGCCAAACTGGCAACGCTTGCCACAGCCGACGTGGCCAACCCCCGAGATAGCGAGGCTAAAAACACCATCGCGATTCAAGAGTCGCTTCGGTCGAAACTCGACTTGGTCAATGTACTGTCTCCCACGGGGGCATTCTTGCTCGAGGGCGACATTGGCGTCGGAAAGACGAGACTCATCCGGTCAACGTTGCTCCACCGATCCAACGAACTCGCTCCGCAACACCCTCACGAACAAATTGTGTTTGCCACCGCCACACCGTTCACTCCGGGCAAGGACTATGTAGTGTTTGCCGATATCGTGGCCAAGCTCGTGCCCGTGGGCCAACCAGTCGGGCCGACCGTTGCCGGGTGGATCGAACAAGGCGTTGCGCCTCAAACTCGGTGGATGCAGCATCTGCACGTTTTGAACGACGTCCTGGACGGTGTCGACTTTGAACAACCCTCGGACGTTGCCGACAACCAAGACAACGACACGAAACCCGCTCCCGTGGAAGCAATGGCCGCGTGGTTTGTCGAGCTGCTTGCCAACGATTTGTGTGAAAACCAGGCTGTTGACGCCGACCCGACGTCGGTGACGCGATTCTCCGACACGCGCGAGAGCTTGTGGTGTCCATGCGATCTCGACGTTGCCGGCATGCTATTGCTGAGTGCGCTCTACGCCGTCACTCGCGACCATCCCGTCGTTTTGTGCATTGACAACGCCATGTACATGGACGAAAAGTCGTGGATTTTGACCATCAGTGTCGCCAAGTACTTTTCCAACTGCTTGGTCGTCGTGTTGTCCCGGCCGCCCAGCGGTGCCACAACTCAACGGACGGCCAGCTGTGCGTTTCGCAAAAAGTTGCGGTGCGCTCGCAGTTGATCTTGATTCCGTCAGTCGCTTATTACGTTTGGCTCGTGTAGCGCACTCAAAGAACTCCCGACAACGACACACTGCACGATGGGCCGCATGACGCCGATACAGATCGAGACGCTGGCAACGCACATCCTCAACATTCCGGCGCTTCCGACGGACCTGGCCAACTTGCTCGTGTCCCGAAGCCAGGGAAATCCGCTCTTTCTCCACGAACTCATCAAAGTGATGAAGCACCAAGGCGTGCTGTACGTGGACGAGAAGAACCAGCAGTGCGAAACACGCGTCCAGGTGGCGTGGGCCGACAAAGCGAGCGCCGTTGCTTGCTTTGGCTGCCAGACGAAGCTCCCGCCAAAATCGACCGACCGGCATCGGTGCAAGGCCTGTGGTTATGTCTTCTGCGCGACTTGTACACCGAAACAATGCTTCAAGTACGCAGTTCACGTTGCGTCCTTTCGTCGCGTTCAATGTGTTGCGGTGCGATGTGCTCATGGCAACTCTTCTTCATAGGGTGATGGCTGGGCAAGGCGAACCGATGCGCCACTGCAAGATCTGCTTTGGCATGACCCGCGGCCGTCGGCCGAGCTTTGAACGAAGCGCGAGCGAGTCGAGGTGTGGCTTAGCGCCGAATCCAAACGGCAGCAACCTCCTCCAGGCAGCATCATCCGCAGCTTCGTCGACGTCCGTGGATTCGAAGAAAACCATACATCGCAAAGCCAAGTCCATGTTTGTCCACCTGTCCGACCCATCGACGCCACTGAAGCACCGGTTGGCGCTCGTGCCACCGCCCACCATCAAGAGCGTCTTGACGACGCTGCTCGATCAACTCACCGTGTCCCAGTACATGCTCATGAAGGTAACGATGGTCGCATTTATCTATTTGCATCCGTGGTCATGGCTCAAGCGTAGACTGCGAGCGTCGTCGGGTCCACATTCGACTTGGACACGGTGAGGGCAGTGTACCCGATCAAGGGCCACTACCCCAAGCCGTCCAGCACGACAAACTTGCCGCACAAGTCAGACGAGCCCGCGGTTGAGGTCGTGACTGACTCGTCCGACAAGAAAGCGGCTGTGGATCGCTTTATGGTCGACATTCAGTCGCTGGAACGACTGTCGATGATCCAGCCTGTGGACGTCTTCATTGGGGGTCTCAAGGACACGACCCACCCGACCGCCAAGTACGAGTTTTGCCACGGTTTCATGCAAGACGTGATTCGAAGTCAAATGCTGAGCGCGCAATGCGACAAACTTGCGACGCGGCTTGCCGACTGGCGCGAACAAAAAGCCAAAGCGATGCGGCAGCAGTTTTTCGCCAAGGCGCAAGGGTCCCTCACCAATCTGAACCCTCACACCAGTGACCTTGCAGGAAGCACTGCATCGGCGGTGTCGTCGTGCAACCAGGTGGCTCATGCACCACCAGTGCGGTGCCACTCGGCGCCCCATGTGGTGGCGATCGGGTCGATCACTGCGCGGTCGTCCGTGGGGAATCTCCACGTGTCGCAGTCGCTCTCGATGGTGCTCAAGCTCAAAGCTGGCATGGTACGATGCCCCCGTGTGACTGGAAGCAGTCGCAATGGCTCGATGTCAGGCGTAGCTGACCAAGAAGTGTACCCGACCTCTAGGTCCACGTTAAGAAACACAAGGGCGTCCTCAGTCACTTTCGGCTTGGCAGCGCGACCATGTGGAAGCGCCGATGGGCCGTGTTACACAACACCCGCCTGCTTCTCCAGCACGACAACCACCGCGTCGGTGGCCGGAGCACGAGCATTCAACTCAAGAACGCCCGTGTGAGCACGTGCGACATGACCCACGACCCCGCAGGCGTTAAGTACCATTGCCTGCAATTGGACGTCCAAGAGTGGTGCCGGATGCAGCCGCAGGCTCACCCCGAGTCGTTCAGTCCGCGGGTGTTTATCCTGGGTATGGAAACCGAGCGCGAGCTCGACTATTGGATCTACATGCTCAAGTACGCAATCGAGTCACTGAAAGATCGATAAAGGAGCGACGGTCGTCGAGGAAGTTCCTCGTCGTAGCAGAGCACTACGTCGAATGAGGAGCTCGATGGTTTAATGATAGTTCCCATGCGACGGCGTACTTGACGAAGATGAAGAGGGACCTGTAATAACTCGCGCGGGTTCGACAGAGGCTGGGACCACCTGAGAAACACAACGAGACTCGGGACGATGGACGGAAGGGAGGGTGGAGGCGTTTGGAGTTATGAGAAGGCTCATTCTCATTACACTTAAATGGGGATCGCCATGGGTAGTGAGCCATGTGCAGGAGCAGCAGCAGGGTGGCAACTCAAACCAGTGAAGAGATACGAGATGATCTATTCGATGTTGGCTTCGCGGGCCTTGCGGAGACGAGCCAAGGTGGAGCGCACGGTGGCAGCCGAGGGAGTGTTCAACAAGTAGGCGCCACCGGCGGTGACCTTGTGGCACGACTTGCACTTCCAGATGCCGGTAGCTTGGCGCTTCACGCTGTCCTTGCCACAGAAGACGCAGTTGTACTTGGCGTGCTGGGACACTTCGATCTTCTTGACCACCTTACGGAGCGACGACCCATATCGCACGCCGTACTTCCCGCAGATCCCGACCTTTTTCGTGCGCTTTCCCATGTTGGTTTCCTTTTAAGTGTTTGGAAGTGAAAAACTCCATTCATTGGTGGTCCCAGTGCGAAATCGCCAGAGCCAACCACTTGCGTTTAAATTTAGACTTGGAATTTGTATCCAATGATTAGATTTCCGGATAACATACCGTTTTCACCGGATGTGGTCCCAACATCACCGCAATGGCTCGCCGTGCAGAGCCGTGGGCGGCGCATGGAGCACGCGTGCCGTCCAGGATTTGGGTTCCAATGTCGAACGAAGCGATATGCACCTTTTGTTCTGTATGGTAGGTCCAAGATATCGAAGGAAGGTAGTCGACTGCGAACTGTTCAGGTGGGTATTGATTTTGTCTAGGCGATGTGTTGTTTGCGGCATCGTCATCATGTGGTGGGCGAAATCCTTGCCGATTTTAGCTGGCACGTGTTGGCTGTCAAAGCTGCAGCATTGGGCTGGAGCTGCCCATTCAATAGACATTGAGAGAGATGCTTCGAAGGTGCACCACATCGCAGAGACCGCGCGCTTCGACTAGTTTAGGTTGCAAATACGACACCACACTTGGAAGTTCGAACGAAGACGGTTTGTGGGTTTAGCTGTCAGCGCAGTACAGTTAGCTACCTATGGTCACCGCACGCCTCGACGTTGGAGGAATGCTCCATCGCACTTTCAACGCCACACACATTGCCGTGCATGGCCACGAAGCGGAGAAAAACACGCTTCATCTTGACAGAGCACACAAACCACTCGCCGCGCAAATGGAGCTCCCAACTGCCACTGTTAAGAGCTGCCAAGCTACCTTAATGGCTCAAGTTTCCATCTCCACCACGACGATTCGGCGGTGGAATCCATTGACTTGTGACATCTATAAATTAAGACACGTCTGCATAGCCTACCCGGACGAGGTCGTCAATTGTAAATTGAAAGTCTCCAAATGCCAGGCATGAGTTGACGACATGCTGCAGACACCGAAGGCGATGAACCATGGACACAGTGATGTGCACGAGTTTGGTGGAGGGAGGGTTTTGGTGTGTTCGCCATCGCTTCCACAATGACTTCGGGGTCGGCAGAATCGACGGCACAACGGCGACGTCTGTGGCTACTGCGGCACCGACATAGCAGTTGTCGAATTCGTGGTCGAGTTCCCATGGGTGGCCAAGGAGGCGTCGCCAGCAAGAAACGTCGTCTGGCGTGAGTTTCGTACGGTCCAGCACAGTTGTGGGCACGGCCTCGTAGACATAACCGAGATGAGTAGCCGCTCGTGAAAGAAAGTCGTTGATCTGAAGCAGGATAGAGCGAGTGGGGTCTGGCTCGAGACCTCCAACGACAAAAAGGAGGTCGTCATAGCTTTCGATGTCTGTATACGTGGGTGGTTGGTGGCCGACGATGGAGGATGTGTGCCTCCAATGCACATGATTCAGCTGCGGCGACGTCGGCGCACTGGCAGGACTGGATGGTGCATCCAATACAGGAGCGTTTGGCGACGGCAACGAGGCGCTCTTGGGACGGAACGTCCGAGAGAATGAATGTGCTCGTGGTCGAAGCAGCAATTGTGGTGGCATCTGCATCATTCTGTCTACAGACGACGAGCGATGTCGCTCGTTGTGTTGAGCGATCGTCTCCGTCGTTGATGCCATCAACGAACGATCCATGCAAGGCAGCGGCGGCAGTTGGCACGGCACGAGTTGAACAGCGTGATTCGATCAGATGAAATTCTGGGAGTGTTGGATGTTTATTGCTAACATGTTTAAAACACATTATGTTTGAAATGAACCCTTCAAGTGGAACCTTGTTTGTGTTATTCTGCCCCCACATCGTTTAAAACAGTGGAGAGAAATTCCACTGTTCACGTACATATTCTCCCCAAATGACCATTGACCGACTTGGGGTTGACACCCAGCTCATGGGGCGAGCGTCCACATGTAGGAGCCTCGTGTCGCCAATGTGATTCCGCATTGCCCTCATCTTACTAGTGGGGAAATGGTGGGGAATCCCTACCCAGGTATACCATGGAGCCCTCGAAAGGTCGAGCGAGTCTGCCTTGTTTCTCGTGACAATGCCGCTGACGCTTACAGTTAGACGGGGCAAGCTCGTGCATCAAACGCACGGGGGTCATCTTGTGTTGTACAGTAGCATAATGCAATTCTGCACAAGCAGCGGACGAAGTGCTTGTGGTGGTGGACCTCACTGATCCGACACAGGATTTTGCAGATCGGGTTCTGTCGCGGAGGGAAAAAATCATCAACCACGAGAAAATACGTGCTGGTGGTCGTGGAGGATTTGTATGCGAAATTTCGTAAATATTGCCAAATTATTTCCAAGAAATTTACGAATAATTGACAAACTTTTCATCGAATTTTTGATACTACATCCAGAATGCGATTGGGCACCGGTCGTGCAACACACTTCTGCTCACGACATCCCATCAGGCTACCGACGTCTTCATCCGACAACTCCTCAAGTACTATCGTCGCCATGACAGCAGCAGCACCGACCCCATCGACCAAGTTGGCGAATGCTCAGAAGCGCGTTCTCCTCATCGACAATTATGACTCGTTCACATACAACTTGTACCAGTATTTGTGTGAGTTGGGTGCGTCGGTGACGGTGATTCGCAACGATCACAAGACGGCCAAGGAGCTCTTGGCCGAGTACGAGGCGACCAAGGAGTTCGACCGCATTTTAATCTCGCCTGGACCAGGGTTCCCCAGAGATGCCGGCATCTCGTGCGACATCATCCGCACGTTCCAAGGCGTGGTGCCCATCGCTGGCGTGTGCCTTGGTACGACTCCCCAGCTTTCATCGCCACGTGACACTCCGTGTGCATGTAGGGCTGCAGTGCATGTTTGAAGTGTACGGTGGCACGGTCGGTCACGCCGGGGAAATCATTCACGGCAAGCAGTCGGAGATGGAGAACGACGGCCGCGGGCTCTTCAAGAACGTGCCATCGCCATTCAAAGCCATTCGATACCATTCCTTGGTACACTTGTGCTGGTTGCTCGTCCATACCATTCTCATGTCGCCATGTAGGTTGGTCTGCCAGAGACCCTCCCAGCAGACCTCGAAGTGACGTCGACGCTGGCGGGCAAGTCGATGATCATGGGCGTTCGACACAAGAAGTACAAGGTCGAAGGCGTCCAATTCCACCCCGAGAGCATCCTCACTCCCGACGGAATGATCATGATCCAAAACTTTCTTGACATGTGAACGATGCACATTGTAATACACTCTTTGCTACACGTTCACATTCGAGTTTGATTCGCGGCACCTCGAGCTGTCCAACATCCTCTCATATCTTTCTCGATCACAGGAACCCGACAACGCACTGGACACCACTCCTTGATCTTGCAGGAATTGACCTCGACGCGTGCCTCGTTGAGTGCACCGTCACCGACAGCCCATAGCTCCCCACGTGTACGGCTAAACGACTCGACGCCTCGCACTCGAATTTTATGACTCGCATACGCTCAAACACGTGAGCGACCAAAAGTCCTGCAGCTCAATGTGTCGTTGGCTGTCAAGGAGATGGCGCGGCGTATGGGAAATGGT